ATTGCTAGGATATGGATGCAGGTTGACATTGGCATCTAGCAACAGGGGCTGTCTTTGAGCAAGAACTATCCGTTTTGAAAGTGGTGTCAGTATACACCATTATTTATATCAAAGGAAGCAGATGAGAGGAGACATGAATCGATCCCCAGACAAATTTTTATGTTGCTATAGCACAATCATTTGCACTGAATATTTGCTCTGGAATGAAAATGGTTCTAACAACATTTTGTTTGTACCCTTATCTCAACAGTGCTAGATAAATGAGAGTAACTGATTCAACCATTTAATAGAGAATCAAAATGTGGAGGTCGCCCACTATATTTTGTTTGGAAAAATGATAGCGTCTTTCTGTAATGATCAATTTACTGATACCGTATAGCCAAAAATTTTCAAGGCTTAAAATTTCGTGAATAATGAAATTTATGGAGAAATTTTAAATTCCGTGAAAAATATTTTCATGATTTTATTTTAATAATAATAATGACAACGCCTTATTTAGTTAAAACATGGCAGATTCAATGTTTGCATGGTTTGAGACGGACTCTTGTTTCAGGGGGCACTACGTCTACAAATCAGTGTGGACACCATGCAGTGATTGGGGAGATCATCATCTTTGACCTTGGCAGTATGCTTAAAATAGCAATACAGAGTAACAGAGACATCAGCTTGACCGAGAACACGACTTAACACAAGGGCACATTTATTAGTAAGGTGTGGTTAACCACGCCCTCAATTAATATTTATTTTCGGGGGTTTAATTTTTCGTGATGCAAACAGTGATCATAAAAATACGAAAATTTATTCCTCACGAAATTTTTTGGCTATACGGTAAGTTTGAGACGTCTGTTTTATACCCTTAACATAAAAACCAAAGGGTCTGTGACATTAACTATCACACCATTGTAATGCTTAGAATACACCGGAGGTCACCAACACAATTTCTATTGAATAAAACAAAATATAGATTTAAAAATAGTAAATGTGATCAATAATGATTGCTTGTTCATAAATCACTGAATTTAAACTGTATAAACAAATACATTACTATAGCTTTCAACATTATTAAAGGATTACCTGCACAAAATAAGACTTATGCAACAAAAAGCTAGCTAAGAAGTATGCTTACCTGCTTTAACTTTCAGCGAGGGGCCTACAACTGTCTCCAAAAGTGTACGTTTAAAAATCCACCCAGATATTGGCTGGATTATTATTAATAGTTATTGCACTTAATAACTAGCAGCCATCATGTTATTAAAGTTAATTAACCGTTATTACTTTTAATTAACTAGAAGAATGTAAAACATTAAAGGGGCGAGCCTAAGCAAGCTGAATGATTTACATGTCTGAGCTAGCAAAGCAATTGCACATGTCTAAATTTAGTAGATATTGTTGCAGTCATCTTGCTTAAATTAAAGTTATCTTGCTTATAATTAGAAGCAGTCACTGAACAAATCATATTTGAAGATTGTATATCTGCTTTGTTAACCTAGGCTTGCTCCTAGAGAAGAAACATCACCTAGAATAGATCTTATGATGCATGCAGCTAGCTACAGTATATACATGCAGCTTTCTCACTTGCATTTAACTTATCAAAGTCCTTTATATCAAGGAAAAAGATTGTATATCTGCTTTTCCGACCTTTATTTTTTCTAGAGAAGTTTTTTAGACAGCAATTTAGTCTTATCTTGCTGACCGTTTGTTGGAAAATAAGCTCTGAGTTGCTGATAGCTGCCATTTTATTTATTGTGACCACATCCGCATTCAATGAAAATTAGTCTATTTAACTTTAATAATAGTTAGACAATCCTACTGCCTGTACAGACAGACAGACGAACAGACAGACAGACAGACAGACAGACGTTTTCTCGCCTTAGTGGGGCGAGCTCAGGCTCGCCCCAACTATTAATGTTAGTTAATAAATCATTGTCAGTAAAATTCAGGATATTTTCTTGGATTATTGCTTGGATTTTTGGATTGTTTGTGAATTATTATCACTTAATTAGATTACTATGTAGCACTTATAATTCATAGATATAAAATTTCGCGAAATTGTTCCTTCTAAGCATTTGCAAATAAAAATTTTGTAAAAATGTAATCATAGTGGGTGCGACATATTGTGGGCGTGGTGTGTTGCATGTGCACGCATAACCTCACATAGCACTCGAAGTCTTGAAAGTACTGTTGATGAAAGATTCCTGCCAGGATCAGGTAGAGGTAAAGTGTTCTGACTAGTAGGAGCAAGATCAGTCTTCTTGAAATACTTTAAAAAGCTACAAGTAGACATTTTTGTGCTGTTCTAGATGGAAGATGTGGCTTCTGGTCCACAAGGCACCACCTATTTAATTACTAGCAAATTTTTGCATATTAAAATTTTCGTGAATTTTGCCAATTCACAAAATTTACATAATTTATTATCCACGAAATATATGTGCTATACGGTATCTGGATTATTAGTAGATTTTTGTGGATTATTGGATTTTTTGCTAAATTATTGGATTTTCTACTAGATTTTTCCGACCTGGGGGCTACGCCCCCAGGTCGTCCTATAATTGATTTCACCCACGTGCGATATATATATATATATATTTGTATGTCAACACTTACATTTCTTCTATACACGTTGTATTGGAGAAATAACAAGCCTTAGCAACCACCTTCCCACGCTACGCAAGTGGGTGCAGTTACGGCAAACAAAATGGTGGCTTACACATGGGACAAAGTTATGAGCTTTCTAACAGCGAAAGAACATAGAGATACTATCTAAAGTCTCTTCTGGATGAATTAGAAGGTAGACAGAACTTTCATAAGTCTTAATAAGAACCCAGCTGTACATGCAAAGTGGTGAAAACAATTATAGGAATATTTTTACACTGTTATGCTTGTTTGGATTCTTTCGGAAGTTTGAGATTTTTCTTAGTTGTAGGCCCTCGACTTTCAACCATTTTTAATTTTATACACAAGTAATTAGAGAAATTATTTACGGTACTATCATAGATATACGACTGTTAGAGGGATTGGAGACTGGTCACATGAGTGCATTACTACTACAGTCACCATCCGCGTTTGTGTTAAATATATTCATAGTCACGCCTTTTCTTTGACCTTGTGCTATTTCAATGGAGGAAGAGCAGAACCAACAGTACATTTTTGTGGGACTATTGTATTAGTTTGGAAGCTTAATACAGACAGGTAAGGTATTGAGCAGTTAGGTAAAGGTTTAAAGTAGTTGACTGGGTCCTTTATAAGTGCCTACAGATGTAGATACTGCAACAGTAGAGCCTAAAGGGTATTTTCCACTTGTTGACTTTGTGGGACTGAACCAGCTTACTAGAATCATGAATGGTTGTAAGACTTTCATTAATGGAGAGCTAGTATGATGAAATATTTGGCAATATCAGTTTTAAGTTGATGTAATATTTATTTTGGTATTTATAGGTCTGCAAATGGAAGGATAAAACTGAGGTTTTTTGTTTAAAAGAATCATGAATATAGGAGATATGATGCTTCAAAGGCACTTATAGAACACAAATTTTAATTATCTGTCAATATGGCATTATCTATTGTAGTATTCAATGCTTATTTGTAGACCTTATAGCATTTGGAGTA